TGTCGCACACTTTATTTTTTATTATCTTTTGACTACTGTACATTTAGATTACGAACAAGCCTACCGGCATAATTTTCAATTCAAGTTCGCATATTACTCACAGGTTTATTTCTTTTTTTTACTATTGCATTAGTATTTACTTTAATTTTGTCTGCAATATTTGTTTATTTCCGATTGTCGTTAATATGTTTGCTATGAAAAATATCATGACTTGCTAAATTAGTTGAGTTCGGCGTATGAGGACCGTCGTTACCGACGGGACTCCGTAGAAAATTTAGGCGCCTAATTATTGATTGAATGTTGGTTTTGGTCTATGTTTTCAAATATTCATGTTTTATTATTTCGACACGAAAGTAAGGAATAAACTATGTTCGGGCCGATAGCGCGAGAGTGCAGGGAATGAACTGATATTGGAAACTAGACATCGATCCTAAAAACAGCGAGAGCGCTTTAGACACCGTTTACGATTTTATCAATTTTCAAAATATGATTTTTAATTGAAACGGGCGAGCGAGAGCAAAATCCTGTGGTTGAAAGGTGTGGTTCTTGTCAATAGCGCGAGAGTGTGAGACGGAGTCTTTAAGTTAGTAATTTTTACGGAACCGAGTTCAGTCGTAATTAGCACCCGATTTCTACAAGTTCTTTAGGCACGCAGAATCCATATTTCGGACTCGTTTTATTACTAAAATTCAAATCTTTAGAATTTTTGTACCTTTCCTTTCCGTTTCAAATCCGTTGAATCTTTAGTCTTAGTTTACTGCAACAATAGACAACATTAGTTTGATTATCACTTCCCTATGGGATCGACAACCTTTTCTTTAAAACGACGTGAACAACTGTATACTTACATTTATTATCCGACGGACACGTCAGTATTGCGTTCGCGATACGCCCCACCAACTAGTTTATTCAAATGCTCCATGTAAATCGTATTATTTTTTGTGCCAAAGTCATACATCATTTTTGTTATTTACAAAAAACACTTAAATTTAAAAAATAAGTCATCCAATGATATCATGAATATATTATTTATTATCTTGCCTACAAGCTTTATTTCATGTGAAATTTCATCTTCAATAATGCATTTATCCTTGTTGAAGTTGATCTTTAGCCCTTTGTCACAAAGTTGACTTATACTTAGAATATTATGCTTTAATCCTTCAACATATAGAACATTGTCAATTGTAGTAAATGGAGGAGTACCGACTTTACCAATACTAAGAATTCTTCCTTTGTTTTTATCTTCATATGTCACAAATCCTTTAGATTTTAGAGTAAAAGATGACAATTTTGACTTGTCTCCGGTTATGTGCTTGGAGCAATCAATATCTAGATATCACACGTTGATAGTGGTATTCAAGCATTCCTACAAAATAAAATAAATTTTTTAGGTACCCAATATGCATTGGGTCATTTTTGGTTAGTTCCTTTTTTGACCCATACTTACTCACCATTATGAACACCATAGTTTCTTACATAGCAAGCATTAGGGGTATGGCTTTTTGTGTTAAAATAAAAACATGTAGGTTTAAATACATGATTGTTTTTATATGCATAGGAGTTATTTCTAACATGATTCTTCTTAGGATGAGTTACAACGTGCACTTTCTTTAGTTCCACATTGTTGAATTTGGTGATAGCCTTAACAAAGATTTTTTTTTGCTTGTACTCGATTTATCGAGTTTAGAGAAATCAAGTTCACATTTATCATTTGAGTATATTTGGCTACTTATTATATTTTCCAAATCAATTTGACTTTTCTCATATTTCTTTATGATTTGGTTTAATTCAACAATTTTGACTTCAAGTAATTCGCATTTATTGCATGCTGAATTTTTCCCTTTGTCTAATTACACGTTAGTGTCATTAGCCTTACTTTCTAGAGACAAAATAATATTCTTTTGTTTTGAACATGTTCTAAAAGGTGCCAAACATTCCTCATGTAATTCTCGGAAGACCTTTTGTAATTCATCGTATAAAGGTTCACTAACCTCATGTTCATCATTTAAATAGTGCGAGACTATCAATGCGAAGTTTGAACATTCTTCATTTTTCAAATCAAAGATGAATTTACTTTGTTGTCATCCAAACAATGTAGGTCTTCTTTGATTTAAAAAATTTCTTTCTTCTGAAACTACTTTTCTTTGTAAGAGATGGGCAATCTGCTTTCATGTGACCTTACTTCCCGCATTCAAAACAAGTAAAATTTTGGTTCGATGTTGAATCCTATTTTTTATTGAATTTTTTCCTTTATCAAATCTTATAGTCTTGTCTTTTTGTAAAGAAATTTTCAAACTTTTTTACAAGTAAGGTAATATTTTCTTCTTCATCTGAATCATCATCTTACATTGTTTCCTTTGACTCCATCTTTAAGGCAATACTTTTGGATTTCTTTCTCGATCTTCATATTTTTCTACCCTTCCAAGTTCTAACTCATGTTCTTGAAGTTTTCTTAACAATGTCGTTGAAGATATCTTAGAAGGACTTTTCTTTTTTGATATAATTGTCCTTTGGTTGTCATGCTCTTGTCGATGATCTAAGGACTCTGAGAGTCAAATCATCATTTGTGAATATTTTTCCAAGTTTCATCAAGTGAGTTGTTAAGTGTGTAAATCTCTTTTGCAAATCAAGAATTGTTTCATCCGACTGCATTTTAAACCTATCATATTCTTGGGATATAGTGTTTAGTTAGGATCTTTTTACTTCCAATGTGCCTTCATGTGTTACTTACAATGTATCCTAAATTTCTTTGACGTTTTGCAGTTTTATACTCAGAAGAATTCGTCCATCCCTAATGCTAATGCAAGTATGTTCTTTGTCTTTTTATCAAACAACATTTTCTTCTTGTCGTCATTGTTTCAAAATCCTTTTACTTTTATTTGTTCTACATTGTTTATGATCATTGCAGGAATGCATAGTCCATTTTCAACAACATCTTATATTTATTCTCCTTGTGCTTCTAAGTACATTCGCATGCGAATTTTCCAAAAGTCATAATATTCACCAACAAAACATAGCGATTTGTTGTTGTTGCCACTATCTTCCAAAAACGGTTTTGTGGAAGCCATATCTACCCAGATCAAGAAGCAAATCACCTTAACCTACTTTGATGCCAATTGTAACTATAGAGTGCAATCTAAGAGGGGTGAATTAGGTTTTTTGATTTTTTTCTTGTTTTATATGACGATTCTTTCCTTTTTATTTTTTCCGAATTTAAGTGTATGATCTTTGAATGAAAATGCTAAAAAAATAAAGTGGAAGAATGTAAAAGTCACAGGAGATTTATCCTAGTTCCCTTTTTAAACTTAAGTGTACATCTAGTTCCTTCATAACTTGAAGAATTTTCTACTATGTTAGGTATTTGTAGAATACTTACTCCAAGACCCTCTTACAATCTTATATCATACACAAGAAAGCACATCATTTTTTCCCACAAAATTTAGAGAAACTTTCTTGTACACTTGTTTGTCACCACACCTTAGTGAACAAGTTCAACAAAATGATAAAAAGATATTTTGAATAACAATAATTTTAGACACTTTTCAAAATTCTGAAATTTAGTCTTTCCTTTCAATAAACAACTCACAATAGTATAGGCCTTAAGTGCTCAAAGGTTGAAAAAACTTTTCTATGATAGATAAAAATTATGCTGCAAAAAGTTTCTAAGGAATTTGAGTGAATTGTTTGAAATTGTTTGTGAAAGAGGTAATTGTAAAATCTGGTGTATTTTGGCTTGAATACATCCCATAATACCTCTAGGATTTGATGTAATGGTTTGGTAAAGATTCATGAACAATTGCAATAAATAGGTATCACAATGGTTCATATTTTTCACATTTTTTCAAGGTACAATTGATTACTTGAATGTTGCAATTGTTTGTCACTATTGCAACGTTCAAGTGTTTCCGTCAGATCAAAGAAACAATCAATTGCATAGATAAAACAATTGATTGACACCTTAAAAAGTTTCAATTTTAACAAACAAAGGCAACATGCAATCGATTGCACTATTATAATGTTTGAATTTTGACCTTTTAAAAGATGTGACTAGAATGATAATCATGCATGAGTGTTTAGAAAATTTTAAAAGGAATTGGACGAAAGATTTTTTAGCATCTATAAGGTTATACACATGTGAATTGTCATTGTACACCTAAAGTTTATAAACATGAATTGCCATTGTACACCTAAACTTTATAGACATATAAAGTTTATACACCTAAAGTTTCTTATGATGTTCTTGAATTTTAAAAACTTTTCCTTCTTCCATTTGTCTTCTTCAAAACAATATTTCAAGTTGAGCTTGTCTTCACATTTTTGACGTAAAAAATTAATAACCACTTTGATATAAGATAAGATAAAATATTGTTTTAGATAAAATATAAGCATTTAAGTTAATTACCACGTTCTGAGTCTTGAGATCAGTCTCAACTTGAGGTCTGTTCCAACGTAAACCTCATCGACTCTAGTGAACCTCAGGCTCAACTCACCTAAACTTTTCTTTAAATATATCATTTGAAATAAAGTAGAACTTTTTTCTACAAGTGCTAGCTTGATGCTAAATTGACAAAGGACTCCATCGTGGATCATTTAAAATAAAGTAGAACTTTTTTCTACAAGGTGCTAGCTTGGTCTAAAATATAGACAAAGGACTCCATTGTTGATGTTCTTAGTGGACTCGGTAGAGTGCCAAATGCTTCAATTACTGTGTTTTTTAAATAAGTACATAAAGAATTCTGTTAGACATCCTTTTCACATTACTTCTGTTGAATTTTCACACTACTCCAAAGAAAGAATTCCTACTCACATGATTTTCTGGTGAACATCTACAATTATGTCAATCAATCAGTTCTTTACAAGAAATAATCAGAAAGGAGTGTCATCATCTGCCTATATGTAGATTGCTTTGAATTTAAGGTTCCCACTTCCTAGAAAATAAATTTAGGAAAGGAACCAAGTTAGTATCAATTTCAGTTATCCAGGGCCTGTGTGTATGTATATCATCGTGTTCGAATATCGGCTTCACAGAACTTCCATGACCCATCCTCTTGCCTCTTCACAACATACTTAACTTTGTAAGTGCTGCATTTTATCATTAAAAATGTTTTAGTTAATAAAAACAGTAAAATGCATAAATGTTATTAGTGTCTAACAATAGACTACTATCCAGTTGTTAGTTAAGCCAAGAGAAGAAGGTTTTACCTATAGTAGTTTGGGTTCTTTTGCTGAGAACTGTCAATTAGTTCAGCGGCTTCCTCTAAAAGGGCTTCTATTTCGGCTATGTCTGATCCATTTCCATCTGATAGAATGTCAGCTCTAAGGACAGACAATTTTAGCAAAAGAAATCTCCAGTAACAAGATTTTTCTTTTGCAGCATCGGCCAAGGCTTGCCACTGTCAAACATAACACCCATAAATTTTCTTCTTGTGTTTCATAGTCTACGCATTCTATATTATTAAGCCACATCAGCAGTCAGCATTTTTTACCAACCTTATTCCCTAATGCCTTTCTCTTGTTATGGAGGAAGTTTCTTTACAATTACCTTTTTAATGGATTTGAGTGCAAATAGATAACCTTTAATAAATGTCTTGAAAATGCCAACTGATCATTATCTCAAGAAATTTTAAGTATTCAAAGCCTCGGCTGATTATATATGTTATGGTACTCATCTCAAGCAAACGAGAAATCATACAATAGAGTATAACATGCCCATTTAATAGTAAGTAGTCTACAGATTGATGAGTAGAGTGATTGAATGATAGATGGTTGAAATGATATTTGATTATATAGAAAAATGATTAAAGAAGACAACAGCAGGCATTACCTGAGCAAGCATAGATTCATCAAGGACTTGAGCTAGACCATTTACTCCATGGCTAGGCCCCAAAGCTTCAGCTTTGATTGTTTGCCATTCCCTAATAAGGGTTTCTGCTTCTTCCACAGGCATTAGCCTCCTATACACATTAATAGGGGAGGATGATGAGGTATGAGCACTGTGTAAATCACTTCGACTTCCAGCATCTGGCAGGTGCAAAAACTGTATCTTAACTGTTGACATGATTTTCTTCAGTTGGTTGGCAATAGAGCTTCGCCTAATATATGTAGGACCAAGTGTATAGTCGGCAGATGAATTTGCAGCCCAAGAAGTGCAATTATTGGCTTTTGTGAAAGCCCAGTTAGAACCAGTAACAGTCTTGCCCAGGTTCATTCCGAACAACTTCATAGAAGCAAATGCAACACAACCAAATACAGTAATGTAAGTTATTCTTTCAAATACTTGAGCATGGGTTAATAGATTATCCCAAATTCCCTTGTGATGAGTACCAAGGTTCCTGTTCACTTTAACAGCTGGCTCACTAGGGTTGTGTCCATTTTCACTTTTTCCGGATAGCAGTGAACCCTGCAAATCAGTAGGAGTCAGCTGCTTAACAGCAAACCCCAAATATGGGGAAGAGCTCGTATATGAGCGAGGTTCCTCAAAATCTTTTCGTTCTACAGAACCATTTGAGGATAGAGGTCTATGACATATAGCAGGAAATATTTGTGGAGATCCTTTAGAATTCTTGCTTCCAGAAATTTTCTTTTGAGTATTAAAGAAATTGGCCTGCAGAGATAAACATTTGTAATTAAATATTTCGCCAGAATCAAAGCAACAAATCAGTTTTGTTCACTATAGTAGATCTTACCAAAGATGGAGAACAACCTTTAGTATCCAGATACAAATCAAGCACAGAATCCTTCAGCCACAATTCCTGGCAAAGTTCAGCAAATGGTCTGAGATCAGAAATAAAAAACTAAAAATTACATCATAGAACCTTAAGATAAAGGGAAAAAAAGAAAAAATAGTTCTTGAACCCTTAATCTTTAGTAGTTATCTCATGTAAAAACATAACATACACTAAAGAAATATTTCCATAGGCCAAATAAAAACAGGAATTTTCTTTCAACATTCAATTTTTAAAAAATAAAAAGAAATGAATAGTAGAAAATGGCATTTAGGCTAGACTCTAACAACAACCAAATCTTACCCCACAAAGTGGGGTCGGCAACATGAATCAACTTCCGCCATAATGTTATATTCAGGATCATGCTTTTATCTAAATTGTTAAGCTCGAGAACTTTCTAACTTCTCTTATAGTTTTCCCAAGTCTTCCTCTACCTCTAACTATTTGACCCCTCTCCATCTTACATACTCTCCTTACCACAGAATCTAAAGGTCTTCTGTCTACATGCTCAAATTACCGAAGTCTATTCTCCACCATTTTTTCTACTATAGGTGAGAGTTATCAATAGCGACCAACAGCAGCGCTATCCCGGGATAGCGGCCGGAGCGGTGACCCTCCGCTATTTGATGTTTAGCAGCCGCTATTCGATGTTTAGCGGGTAGCAGGAGCGGGGCGCTTCCCGGACCGAGCGGGTTTGAACTGTTTTCAACGCAAAAACCCAGATTTACCCATAAAGTAAATAAATCTGGTTTAATTTTATGTCTGTTTTTCATTACCTCTGTATTTTTTAATAGTCATTTAATAACACTATTCCTCTTCTTCCTGTTTTATCTATTTGGTTTTACATTAAATATATGTTTTATAAATTATTCATATAATTAGCCTACAAAATAGTCAAATATCGGTTATCCCACTATCCGCTATCCCGCTATCCATTTTTGAGATCGGCTGCTCCACTATCCGAGATTGATAACTCTGGTGCTACCCCAACACTTTCTCTAATATTGTCATTTCTAATCTTATCATGTCTTGTCTTACCACGCATCTAACACAACATCCTCATCCCTGCTACGCTTACTTTATTCTCGTGCTGATTGTTAAGCGTCCAACATTCTGTCTCGTACAACATCGCAGGTCTTACCACAGCCCGATAAAACTTTCCCTTCAACTTGAGCAGTACCTTTCTATCACATAAAATCCCTGAAGCCCTCCTCCGTTTCTAAAAAACATTAATTTTGAAATCCATGCCCCAGTTTAGCATGCAGGGACTCAAGACTAAAATTGGAAGAAATGGCATCACTAAGGTCAGTCAAGTAACTCACACAACAAACAAACGCACCTAAAGCATTGGCAATGCATGACCTGAAGGAAAACAGAAAATTAGAACTGAACAAACATGATGACAAGGGAAATACCAATGATGGGTTTGCAGCTGAAGCATCCATTATTGCCTTCCCCAAGACTGAATTATGTTTTGGATTTGAGTTCAGCTCAAGCTGCTTCAGCTTTTCAACTGCCTCAGCCTCTGTGCCCTAGATTGAAGACAACATTCATGAAGCACTATGTTGTGTATTCTTGCAGAAAATTGAAAAGTTGAAAAAAATATGGGTCTTGCTAACTTTGCATTGATAATAACTTTTCAACTTTTAAAACATTTAATGCATGACTTTTAAGATTGAATTTCTATATTAAGTTGTTTAATATAAATGACGAGTGGCCTAATAGTGAAAAACTGATAACAGGTGATCCAACAGATTTGGAACCGGACTCTAATACCATCTTAGAATTGTGGTTGGGCCTAACTCCACTATACAAAACTGACTTGTAAGGTGAAGATTGCCCCCACTTATAAAAACATATGTCCAAGCCACATATTGTACGATGTGGGACTCTTAACAATATCAACATACTTCATCATAGCAGCTCCAATAATTAGAGTTAAAATGATAAACCATACTAGTCCAAGAAGGAATAGGCAAAAAGCTTCTTCAAATTTCAGATCAATGCCCTCTGAAGCTATCAGACATTCACATATGCTTTTTGCTTTGTTAATCTGCATGAAATTAAAGGATAAATAAAAACTTGGTATAAGGATGAACTTAAGAAAGACACTGTTGGATAACATTACTTAAAAATAAGGACTATAGAAGGAATATTAAAATACTTATAAGCTTTGCAGGAGGATATTAATGGAGAAGGGTATTACCAACTCTTTTTGCCTGCTGGAAAACCCAAGTGCCATATGGGCTGTAAAAACTCTATAGAAACAGTTTGAATCAATTACTGCCCTTAGATTCTGTGATTCAATTGTCCTTTTATTCTTTCGCATCACAGCTAAGCTATCCCAAGGAAGAAGATCAACTATCTCACTAGCCAGTAAATTGCCAAATGCTTGGCTTAGAAAAGAAGGCCAGTCCTGTATTTGGCACGAGGCTTCAACATCAAGACCCTGTCTAATCATTTCACGCAAAGCTGCAATTGCTCCTCGTCTTCGTTCAACATTTTCAAGGGTATTTGGCATGCTCAGTAGCTCCAAGGTGCAAGCAGGTGCAAGCTCTTCAAGTGACTCTTCGATCTAGAAACCATTAAAAGCAGCCTCAGGGTTGTTCCATGCATAATATACTGATATGGATCGAGGTCAAGTCTTAAAGTCTCTTAAGTTGAATTTGGTATCCAACAATAATTGCACAGCCGCAAATTCTCCAGTAAAAAAGAATAGAGAAAACGGAATGATAAAAAAATAATAATAATAAAACAAGAAATAACATGTACATATAATTGATAGAAATACTAAATAAGTATGCGATATTCCATGAATCAGACTAGGTTAGATATTTAGGAAGTTTGACCTGAGTTATCTGTTATTAGAGCTTGTTAAATTACAGTACCAATAAATCTAATATTGAAGTAGAAATTATCATTTTCACTAAATAAGTATACCAAATTATTCCTAGAACTCATGGAAATTTCAAATGTTCTTGAATTAGAAACAAAAGCTACGAAGTACAACAATTTTACACCTGCTTAATTAATGATTTCTTTTTCTTTTAGTTGAAAGTAGAGGTGGAGTTTATAGCCCAATCTTTTTCTAATAAAATACTAACTTCGACCCTAAGTTTAGGACTTTGTTTACTAAACCATGGGGATTAAGAAAGTTGATAGGTATTATTAAATTTATTAAAAATTGATACTGTTTTTCCAAGTTTACCCTTTATGAGAAAGAGTGAATTTATCTTTTCCATAACATTTTTTGTTTACTTGTTGGTTACAAAAAAAAAGAGAGGAAAAGGAATTAACGGTATTATTGTAAAGAAATGATTAATACAGTGGCAAATTCAAAGAGTGTCCCATATAAAGGCACAAGAGAACTCATCATAGGGTCCTTATTAAGGGACGGAGGTAGTATATACTAAGTAGTGACTTAGGTAATATATACTAAGAAAATTTGTTTAAAATAAATATACACTTAAAAAAACTTTCGTACCTGAGATAGGAGTGTCATTTTTGAAAGAGATGGTTTACTTCTTAGAAGACACTGAGCACGAGCAAGAGCTTCGAAACCTTGAGATACTTTTTTCTTCTCAAAGCCAATCTTCGCAACTGTACACTTCAATAAGGCACCTATGATAAGGATAGGGTATATAAACAAGACTGTAATAAATTTAGAGTGCAGTTTTTCAACCTCTGTCCACATGTCTTACCTCAGCTAGTGCCATAGAAAGAACTAAATCATCTGCATACGGCTTTGCATCTTGATGCTGAAGACTCGTTCTTCCGATGTCCAGCACAAACTTTGACTCTCCAATCTGAGCAGAAGGTAGAAATGTAGAAGTCAAATATCTCCAGAAAACAGAGAGAAGTTAATATACATGCCAACTGTACCTCTTGAAGAAGGCATAGAGCACCAGGCAACCAAGACCAAGGAATACGAAGGGAAGATTTAGGGGGAATCCTTTCCTTCAGGTTACCAGCATATTCTGGCTCAAAAAGGAGCTTATCCCTAACATCCATCAGAAGATCCTGCAAAGTAATATTAGATGAGAGCAAGAAACAACAACAACAACAAAAACAACAACTCAATTACTCTACCTGCATCTCTGAAACCAAATTTAGCAAGAAAAACATATTTAATTGGTGGGGACATTGACACCTATACCTGGCGAGATGCAACAACACCCATTGTGTAGCCTTCGTCAATTTCTGCATTTTTTAAACTCATAACTGCTTTAACAATTTCATCTTTCTCAGCTCGATCGGGAACACCAATAAGCTGCAAAATGAACGGAGTGGTCTAGCATAAATCTCAAGGCAAATAAAATGAAATCAGCATGGGCGATGTAATATAAAAAAGAAAGCCAAAAATTATCAGTCTATTTGTGAACTTGAAATGATAAACACTCATCATAGCTGATGAATCAATCTTAAACACCAACCCTTCATAGCATGGAAAACAAAAACATAGAGGGTGGAAATGTTAAGACTTAGTTAACAGTATAAAACATATGGAGCTATCCAACCGTATTCAATGAGCCAAAGTTAAAGTACAAAATTACCCCTAAATCTGTGTTTGTAGTTTAGCTTGTAATTTTCTTTGGTCTCTCCCCTTTACCTCTAATAATTAGACTATCCTCCATGCCATCCTCATCTGCTTCTAATCTAGAGGTCCTCTCCAAACAAATGTCCATTTTTCCTCCAATATTATCTAACTTCATTTCTAATCCTATCTTGTCTAATATAACCATCCTTTCATTCGCACACCCTCATCAGTACAACAATAAGTTTACGTTCTTGTTAGCTTTCTACTCATCCAACATTCAATTCCATACAACATAATTGGTCTAATAAATATGCATTAAAACTTTCTTTAAGCTTATAGTTATTTTTCTATCACATTAATTCCTATCTAACACCAACACTTCAGATCCAAAACCTTATGAATATCCAACATTTGTAAGTATGCAACACTAACACGGTGTTATTAGATGCAATCGCTTCTACTTTCTTAAATTGTTCACCACTTCAACAATAAGCTTACTTTCTTGTTAGCTTTTTACTCATCCAACATTCAATTCCTAGAGTCATTATTCTATCACATATCAGTTCTTATCTAGCACCGACAATTCAGATCCAAATGAGTATCCAACATCCGTAAGTGTCTGACACTAACACGGCGTGTTAAGATACAATCCTTCTATTTTCTTACATTATTCATCAGAACCATCACTACAACAATAAGTTTACTTCCTTGTTAGCTTTTTACAAGTCCAACATTCAATTCCATACAACATAGTTGGCCTAATAAATGTGCACTAAAACATTCTTTAAGCTTAGATTTACTTTTCTATCACATATCGGTTCCTATCCAAACTTCAGATCCAAAACATGTATGAGTATCCAACTGGCGTTAGGTGTGTCAGTGTCTGAAACCAACACCCATACTTGTTATTATACTTGTTATTAGGTATAATTTATTAATTTTTTCAAATTATTATCCGTGGCCGAGCCGTGTTTCCGGTGTCCCTCCTTTTAAAGTATTACCACTGTCTATGTGTGTCATGTCTAGTGTGTGTATGCGTGCATCATTCAACATTCCTCAAGCTCATCAAACTCACTTGGATCCTATAGTAGATATCTTGTCAATTTGAGAAATGGTGACGATAATAACAATGATAATGTATAAATGAAAAAACGCGCACACACCCTCAATTTAAACAACAAACAAAGCAATTTTCTGTACCTGATAGCAAGAAACTGGAATTTCAACACTGGACTTCACATGTGGATTTTCAACAATCCGGTTAATAGTATTATTATTGTCAACAGACTTCAACTTCCTCCTTTCAAGAATAACATCACTTTTCCCAGCGTGTGACCCGATGCAAAACGAAGAACCACAATATCCAGAACCAGCATCGCCATGGGAGCCAAGAAATGGAGCCTTGGTGATACGAGAAACGCCGTACAGAGAAGGACCGACCACTGCAGCATTAGCCAGTGCCATGATAAAGTCTCATTCCACTCTATCCGAAACCCTAATTGTTCGGATTCAGTGTTGTTTTAACGTGGTTGAATTGGAATTGCGAAACGCATTGCTTTGAGTGATGGATGAAGTTGTGAAGTGTGATTGAGATTTTTTTTTATGATATGGAAGAAGGAGGAGGAAGGAGAAGGAAGAAGAAAAAGTGAAGGATTGGGAGAGAGAATAAGTGTGTAAAACGTTAAAGAGAAAAAGAGGGAGATTAATTGTGACACTTGTTTTTTCTTTTCTTTTTCCTTAACTATTCGGTTCAGCATTATTAGGGATCACTTCTATAACTGTATCGTTAGGAAATTTTAGAGGATTTCTTAATTCATTCTTTGATATTTTTAAGTATTTGGTGAATTTTCTTTTATGTTGTTTGTTTTTGGAGGTACATATTCAAATGCATTTTTTTCATTAAAATGTGAATATTTTTGGAGTTATAGTTACGAAATAATTTTCTATTGGTATACGCTGAAAAAAAACTTTAAAATAATTCAGTTCATAAAAACTTTCGTAGATGCACCTCCGGAATGTCTACGCGCCAGAATGTTTCGTAGATACAACTCCAGAAGCTTTTGCTATATTTTAAATCTGCATGAACACTCTCCCGTTGTTGTCTTTTCTTCTTCCACGCTCACCTTCACCAACCTAAAAAAATCCTACATTCTCAATATCAATTTCACTCCAAAACTCCAAACTTTTCGTGCAACAAATCAAAGAGAGTAAGAGAAGATAGAATTTCAGGTAAAGATTGTATTTTGTCCACTACATTGCTCACATTAATGATCAAATTTTTGGAGAAAAAAAAGTAACGTTGCTTTTGGAGTTGTACCTCCGGAACGTGTTAAAGATGAACACTTTCGGATGTACACCTCCGGAACGTGTCTGTTCTATTATTTTACAGCAAATTTGTAATTTTTGTTTATTTTTCTTATTGTTTACAAATAGATATGGTGCACCCCGATAATATCTTCAAAGAATTAGTTTTCACAAATGATGTTTCTCCGAATGTTCAAGGAGTTGTCGTAAAGTCAGTAAATGTCGGCGTTGACTTTAATAACAAGCAAGAGTTTGATGATCATGATAGCATGCTCACATGGATTCGTAGGACTGCAACTAGACTTAGTTTTGTTGTGCTTATAGGAAGATCGGATAATGGTTCGGAAAGAAGAAACACTTTTGTAACTTTGCTGTGCGAAATAAGAGGGAAATAACAGACTCTTCTACAGAGGTTTAAAAGAGACGACACTGGTAGTAAAAAATGTGAATGTCCTTTTAAGATTCGTGGTTACATATTGAGTATCAAAAAGTAGAAATTTAGTGTTATTTGTGATTTGCATAACCATGAATTGTGCTTAAAGTTACAAGGCCATCCTAGTGTATGTTGGCTCAAACCGGAAGAGAAGACATGTATTAGTGACATGACCTTGAATCTTGTCCAACCGAAAAATATACTTGTCACATTGAAACGGAAGAAACTCGACAATATATCAAATATAAGGCAAGTGTATAACATTCGGTACCGCACCAACAAGGCGATTAGGGGAGATAGAAGTGAGATGCAACAATGGTAGAAATTGTTGGATGATAACAGTTACGTGTCCCAGTACAGAACTTGCGCCGATGGAGTTACGATCCGAGATATTTTTTGAACTCATCCGGATTCGATAAAATTGTTCAACACGTTCTCGATAATGCTCATTCTTGATTCTACCTACAAGACCAACAAGTATAGACTTCCTTTATTTGAGATGATTGGTGTTACGTCTACCAAGAAGACATATGACGTTGGTTTTTCTTTCCTGGAGTGTGAAAAAGAGGACAATTTTACATCGGCATTAGAGGTGTGTCAGTCACTTTTGAAGGACCAAGTTGAGATGCCTAAAGCGATTGTTACCGACCGCGATACTGCTTTGATGAATGCGGTTGCAAAGGTATTTCCTTCTTCTAATGCATTACTTTGTCGATATCACATAACAAAGAATGTGAGAAGTCAAGTTAAACCCGCGGTGGAGGCAAAATAAATAAAGTCCGAGGGTGAAAAATTGGTGAAGGCCGGTGTGATTGTTGAAAAAATAATGGATGCATGGAATCGTATACTAAATTCTTCCACAAAAGAAGTATATGCCAATTTCGTCATTGAATTTCAGAAAGTGTGTGAAAAGTATCCTGCTTTATTGAAATATGTTGAAAGCACCATTCTTGATCAAGTGAAGGAGAATATAGTATGTGCGTAGACTGATAATGTCTAACACCTTGGAAATACAACCACCAACAGAGTTGAGTCGGTCCATACTAGTTCGAAAAGTTGGTCGGGTAATAGCAAGGGAGATTTGTGTCGAGATTGGGACTCCGTAAATCTCATGATTAATAACCAACATAATGAGATACAAACAACATTTGGTCGGAGTATAACGGTATTGGAACGTCGATTTAAATACAACATTCTTTATTCTCAACTGGTCGGCAATATGTCTTGGTCGGGGTTGAACTATATTTTTCACGAGGCCAAATGAAAATATACGCGTACGGAAATATTTCGTAGATGCATCTACGAAATTAATTAAAAAAAGCTGGAAAAAAGTGCGTCCAGAGATACATCTCCAGAAGCAGGGAGCATTTTTGTCAGCGTGCATGGTGCCTAAAAAGCCCAATGGGTGCCATAAGAAATTCTTAAATTTTATCCATACCTCTACAGTGCAGGGTTACTCTACTTACCTGTGGTGAAAAGTCACTCTAATGAAATATAAAATTGCTCTTTTGGAAATTCATAAATATATTTATGTATGTATTCTAAAAAATCATACCATCGCATAGCATATTGTCAAAAAATAGTTTGGAAGTATACTTTGCAAGAGTGGGTGAAATTGTATATGTTATGGCGCGTATACAAGTTTATAAATGATGGTTGTTTGAAATCACTTTCGCTAGGCGCGATGTAGAGTGCAGGGGACTGTTGGATTGGATCCGACGACTGAAGATAAGCAAGAGGCGCAGCTCTAGTGTGCCTTCTTTTGGAGAGAGTCAACACGTTTGTCGATCTTGAGTGAGGGTGTTTTGAATTGGGCCTCTAGTGTTTAGTCGGTCTTATTAGGTTGTTTGATCAAACATAAATAATTACCCCCAAGTCCTTTTTGTCAAGTGTGCAGCTAGGATTGTAACAAGTTTGTTGAGACGGGCCTCTTGGCAAATCCATATTGGAGAGGGTGATGAATACACTGCAAGAAAAATAGGCGTCATCCATGTGATATTGCCAAGTGAAAATCACGTCGCTAAAAAAGGACGTTGTCACGTGATTTTCACGTCATTAAACATTTAAAATTAAAAAGTATATATAAAGTCAGGTTTTGCCACGTGAAACCATGTTGCTGAACATTTAAAATTAAAAAAATCATGGTCTCTCTCTTTTTGTCTCTCTCTATCTCTATCTCTCTCAAAACATATATAACAACAGATAGTGTTTCGTTTGGTCAATTAATGAAAGCAGACATAACTTCATATATCCTTTGTTTTTTTCTTCTCAATTCTCTAATTCTTGTGACCCAAAGAGAACCAAAAAACAAAGAAACAAAAGACATAGTTGACAATTACATGAATGTGAACCTTCTATTTCCCTTGAGCAAATCACAAGCAAACCTCTAGAAGGTGTTGTAGCCTAATAGTCATGCTTCTTTATGTTCTTGTATATACCTGTAAGTATTCTAGTATTTCACTCTTTAATTTCAACCTTTTTACATCTTTATTTGTTTTTCTTTCTGAAGCTTATTCTTGTGATTTACCATATTCTACTTCATTTTGTAGATGTTTTTGTATGAAAAGTTGTTTTTTTTCAAAATCTCATTGGATTTTCATTGTTCATCCTTTATGTGTTTTACTTTCTCCAACTTTCTATTTGGGTTGCTTAAAGTTTCAAACTTTTTAACTGTTTTGGATCCTTGACAACAATGTTTTTTTTGGTTTTTGGTTTGAAGATTCTCACGCTTTTTTTAAAGTCAACAAAAAAGTTGTTACATGATTTTCACATAGCAACATTTACTACATCCACTCCTGCGACGTGTTTGCTCATGTCACTAATTTGTGTTTTATGACGTGATATTTTTTTTGTATATGATTTTTCTTATATTTATATGTAAAATTTGTACACTTGAACAAATCAATATTGAATTGTTGAAAAAAAGGGCAGCCATCAGGATTATTATAGAGAACAAAAGAGCTTGTGCTCACAAATCAGAGATCAGACAATGGGGAGATCGTTAGTATGTTAAACTCCAATATTTTAGATATCAAATAGACATTCTAATACAAAATAAATGAAGATTTGTGTTTATGTCATTCAGTTACAATTCAATATAAGGATTTGAAATACCGCTCAAGTTATATTGTGTTGTAAAACAGTCATATAATATTTAAACAATAGATTTTAAAATCTATTCTTGAAATAATATATGATTGTCTTACAATAATAACTTTACATATAAACTAAAGACTAACCTAGTTTCAACAACAATAACTTATAAGTCAATCGGCCTTTTAAAATCTATTGTTGAAACACTATACGACTGTCACATAAATTAGGGACTATTTTATAATTTAAATGTTATTTAATTATTATATTCCAATAATTATTATGTGAGGGTATATATTTTAATTATATTAGCTATTTATAAAATTAAGAGTCTTAATTGATCAAGTAGTCAAATAACTTAAAAGACTATTTAGATTTTTATTTAATAATTAATTAGTTAATTGGATATGGACTCAAATGTGAGTGGATGTCAGACTGACTCATTTGGGAACAATGGAACCCTAATTGGTCATCACATTATATATAAGCTTTAATCCCTAATATATCGTACACAAGTCATTTATCTATTCTCCTCTCGTCTTAAGAGTATTCAAGACATTAGGAGTACCGTTTGAGGAAGAATCATACAAGCCACCAGATGTCTTTTGTTTGTCTTCTTTCAGGATTACCGCCA